GCGGTCACTCTTTCAGGGATGAAGATGTTCACATCCTGGACAGAGAGGAACGATGGTTTGAGAGAGGAGTAAAGGAGGCCATCTTTGTGAAAAGAAACCCTCCATCGTTAAACAGGGGTGGAGGCCTCCGGGTTCAACTGTCCCCCTCTTACAATGCTGTGATTGCTAGTATCACTCAGCCCTCTGTGAACAGTAAACAGCCATCAGTGTGCTAATGATCCATTGTTAGGCTGATGGTCCTTCTTGATCATGTGATCAGCTGGTTTTAAATGTCAACAACAAACTGGTTCATCCACTCTGTGAAGGTGCTATTTATAAGACTGAGCTGAATACAGCACCTCAGACTGAGGAAGTCTTTCGGATGAAAAAGTTTCTACATTTTGTTTATTTTTTGAACCCGTCCAGAGGACCTGACTTTAGTTTTTTTCTATCTGGATTATTGAGCATGCATCAGGACATATAGGTCAGTGTTTCTCAATTCCGGTCCACAGGGATCACTGCCCTGCATGTTTTAGATGTTTCCCTGCTTCAGCATGCCTGCTTTCAATTAATAACTGATTAACAGCCTTTTTTTTTAAACTGTAATCATCTGAATCAGGTGTGTCAAAGCAGGGAAACATCCAAAACATGCAGTGAAGTGTGCCTTGAAGACCAGTGCTGGGAAACCATGCCTACTCTAAAAATGTTTGTTCTCTTGAGATTATGGGCACTGTAGGTGTAGTTTTGTTGAAATACTTTGACATTGCTGTGGTATGTGAGAATGGTTTTTTTTTTTCTCAGACTGCATTTGGACAATTGTTTTTCATCCATTATTTTCATTCATTTCCAACTTTTAAATATTGAAGCAGTGGGTGACAGATTGTGTACATGTTCCACCACCATTAATAAACCTCACTTCAATTCATAGCTGAGCAGTTTATTTTAATTTCAGATAGAGTTCAGTTGAAGACTCCCAGTGTTCTGGTTTCTGTAAATGATTGTGCTCGATTGTATAGTCCAAGTATTTTTGCATGTTTGTGTCCCCACATGGAGCTCTTGTCAGATGAGCCTCAGGAAATGCAGCCAGTTCAGTCTGTTTGATTTTACATCTGGAGCCAAACCCATGTTAAAGGGAAGATATGATTACATTTAAATTTATATGATGAAAGAAAAATAAATACCATCTACCACCAAGGTATTACACGTGTGGTAAGTAGTAGAGCTCATTTGGCTCTTCTCCTGGACATGATTCAGTTCTGGAGGGTCACATCCACAGTCTCACACACTCATCCAAGCCCCTCTGAATAACTTCACCAAAACAATATCTCAGCACAGCAGACACTGATGCTCGTGACTCCCATGAAGAATCCAGCTTCTCTAAGGTCTGCAAACAGCTCCATCCAGAACTGACATCTATAGAAATTGATAGTTTATATTCAGCACATCCATGTTTGAATGATGGTTACTCGTAATTAAATTAATTTATGAAGACCACTTACCTTCCCTTTCTGAATATGGACCACCAGGACTCGATCATAAGGTTGTTTGTGGATTCATTCAACCTTTATTTAGACAGATAAATCCCACTGAGCCTCGAGGACTCATTTACAAGAGAGACCTGATTTCAACAAAGAGTGATGACAACAATGGACAGTTATAAAAAGGCATAAAGATTTTTTTTTTACAAATAAGATGGCAAAAAAGTAACAAAAAACAGCTAGATTCTAAGGCAAATGTAGAAAACTAAATACAGGAACATGTCTGCACTGATCCCTGCCAGGAGTCCAACAGATTCTTAAAGCCACTTAGAGAGGTCAAGGTCGAGAGCTTCAAATCTTTTTGTAAGATATTCCAGGAAACAGGAGCGGAGTAGGAGAAGGCCCTTTTGCCAAGTTCAGTCCTCACTGAGGGAACACTGCAGGTAATAATGTCCTGAGAGCGCACGCTGTAGCTGCACTCATGCAGAGACATGTAGGAGGAGATGTATGAAGGCAGCAGACCAAGAAGTGATTTAAAGATGAAAATGTACCGATGAGCCGTACATGTGGCTGGATGCTCAGGAGTAGTAGTCATTGTGGTGGTGATGTAGCGTGCGCTGATTAGCGGCCGTGGTCCCGTTCTCCGTGCCTGTATCTTGTCCTTCCGTTGTTCTTTGCCATTAAAAACTCGTAAGGATTGGCCACACAAAGAACAAAACCGCGTTAATCTACTCATATCCCACAAAATGGGCAAAACTCTGCTTGCTGTCCATCTTGGGTCGAAATGACCGCTTCTGTCATCACTTCCGGGTCAGCCTCAGAGTTAGGACATTCCCTTTCCGTGTGATTTTGTCATTTGTAAATTTGTTTCTGGACTTGTAAAAGTGTTTTGCGTGTTGTTAAATTGTTTTCTGAAATGTGAATTTGTTTTTCACCTCCCAGCCGCCGTAGTAGAGTCGTGCACCTGCAGGAGGAGTGAACTGTGCAGGAGGAGATTTGAGCACTCCTAGAGTCAGATTTGAGAAGTTGTAACTTTGAATCGTAGTTGTACTAAAAATGTAGACAAGTAAAAACAAATTGCAAACAAGTAAATGATGAAATACGAGCCTGTAACTCCTATTATATTCATGTAAATATAATTTTACACATTCGTAATCGTTTTTTCTGACATTTCTTTAAAAAAATGTTCATGTTAAACTTTTTTTGTGAGTGAAATTTTTATACACAAGTAAACATTTTTTATTCAGATGCACAAATCAAAGTTACAAGTTCACAACTACTGCAACATATTGTATTGTCTCAGAGACCCTGTGGGCTGCAAGGGATGCTGGGTAATGGGGTATTTGTGTGAGTATTATTGTGTTTTGTTATGATGGTTGGAGTGTGGAAATAGGTTGCTCTATTTGAGGTCTTGTTCAGGTTTGAGTTGACACATGAGCTGAAGTATCTGTTGATGACTGTAAAACTGCTGCCATGAGTCTCAGGTTGTTCCCTGCGTCTTACTTCTTGATGAGGTGGAGAAAGGAAGATGTGTTCTATAATAAAGAGTGATGTCACAGAACGTGAATCTATCAAGTACATCTTGCTAGCACTTGACAGCTGCTACAATATCTACCTTCATATTGGTGTTTCTGTAAAAAAAAAAAAAAAAAAAGCCGATTTGATCAACCATTAAATGTGTGTTTGTAGCTCTTTGAACCACCTCAGCCTCAGTTAGGAGAAAAGAACAGTTCTGACCAGTCTGACAAGCTAATGGCTAGTCCAGGCAGGGCAAAGGTCAAAGAGGTTTGTTGCCATCTTAAAGCAACTACAGTCTCAAACAATTCATAGAAATTTATAAAAATAATATAAAATAAAACATCATCAATTTTATGTAACAGTTATTCTAGCAAAAGTATCATATTCCCTGATGGAGATGCCTCAGGCTGCTACTATCACCCCAACTCATAAATAACCAAAATATCAGTTTGGTGTCGGTCAAACTGGTCATTAGCTCATCAGTTCTGGTCTGAGTCAACCTGAGTCTGCTCAAAGACCCATACAAATAAAAGTTAGGAGTAAGATACTTGTTCATAATGTTTTTACAGAGCCTTGCTTCAAAAGAAACAAACTCCTCTAAGACTCATTAAGAAGCTGCATCTGTGAAACACTGGCTTCCAAGTCTGTGTCAGACAATTTGACTGCTTGTTGAGAAAACTACACAGAGACACACACACCCAAAGACCGACGTGCCCAGGGTAAAATAAATGTAAATACAGTGCAGGGCCCAGTGACTTATTTGAGTCCACTGCCTCCCATGTTGAGTTGATGCAGCCTAATGTTGGAGGTCCTGCTGCTAAACTCCAAGAAACAAACAAACCCTCCTCAGATTGATTTCTTTACCTGCTCGTGGCATGTAGAGCATCAAATGATACACAACAAACCACTTGATACAAAAAAAAATTACAAGTGTGCGTTTTTGAATCTCAACCCGCCCCCCCTCCCCCCCCCCCCCCCACACACACATACATTCACATATTCTGATTCGTTAACCAGAGTGATCATGAAACCCTCTGATGGCTTTCCTTTGCAACATAATTAATGAAGCTTATAATGAAAATTAGCACCACTTGGACGTTGGTAGTCAGATATGGCCTCCAGCCCTTGGAAGAGAACAGAGTCAGTGACGCCGAACGACTTTTTCTTTGTTCGCACTCAAACGATTCCCAGCCACGCTCATCGTAAATCTGGAGGGAATCGCTTCACTGAGGTACTGCTTTATCAGCTGTCTGGCTGCATTAATTGTTTCAGCTAAAGAGGGCAATAATCATCTTGGTAACTGCATGTCCTCATAAATATCACTGCTGCATACCTTAACTAATTCATTGTCCTTCCTAGATTTCCCCAAGCATTTTGAGTAACGGTCAGTCCAGTGAGCGTTGTCAAACAAATCATGTGAACTACAAGCTGCAGTTAATCATGATCACCAATGAGACGTTAATTAGCACCACTTATTTATTAAAAGATTTACCTAAATGGTTGTATTCGAGCCTGTTTGAATAATTCTGACCATGTGTGGATCAGAGAAAATCCACAATGAATCTAAACTTGTTCACCCAATTATTATTTTTTTTTTATTTTTAGGAAATCACTAAATTTGTACGTCGAAGAGTCATTCTGCCTTGGAAAAAGACTGGTTCAAATCAAAAATAAACATGTAAAATTAAATTGACATCCACTGATGTGTGGATTGAAACAGAAAATATCTCAGTTTTTTTTTTACAATCCAGCGCAGAGAAAAACTGTATGCTGAGCATGAAAATGACTTCTCCGTTCTCATTAGTCACTGTTAATAACTCTGTCACAAAAGGAGAAACAAAAACACAATTCATCTAAAAAAAAAAAATACATTATTGTGTGTTATTGCTGCTGTATGTTGGATATAGAGGGCCAAAAACTCAAGGACATTGAGAAGTAGTAGGATCAAGTGCTCTGCTATCCTGGTCTGGTACAAGTTCTGTGCTCTGATGTGTCTCTTCCTGTTTGAATCCTTCCTGTGAACAGCTGTGTGCCAGCCCGGCTGTAAGAACGGAGACTGCATGGGACCCAATAAGTGCAAGTGTCATCCTGGCTTCACTGGCAAGACCTGCAATCAAGGTGAGCTGTCACGTGGAACGTGTGGACTCTGTGATAACTGAGGTTATTTTTCACTTGGTTTATTTGTTACAAGCTGCAGGAAACACACACACTCACACACACACCACAAAGCAAACAGGAGTGTCAGACTGGCCCTCACCTGCTATAAACAACGCACAAACCTTACCGACATGCACATTTTTTACCAGGAAACTAAATGAAGGTGAACCCTGTCCCTGAGCACCAGCAGAGTAATCACTGCGGGTTGTGTGCAGGACCTCCAGCGAGTTGAAGCTGCAGCCAGTTTGCCTATGGTTGACAGGACTGAGGTGTTTAAATCACAGGGGAGGAGGAGCAGAAAGATCAGACTCAGCTCAAAATGGCGACAAGTCACACTGAGTGCATCCTCCTTCTGTGAAGATAACATCTCAATTACAAGTTTTTTTTTTTCTTCGTTCATTCAATCTTTATTTATACAGGTTAGTATCATTGAGTCACAAGGACTCGTTTACAAGAGGGACATGTTTAAGACAGACAACATATAAAGTACAGACAGCAATAAACTACAGTAAAATGCAATTAAACTAAAATGTTATAAAATCAAGGTGCCATATAAAACAAGTTAAAATACTAAAAACAAGAACATATTTGCTTTGATGTTTCTATTGACCTTGTCAAATGTTTGAAATCCCCTGAAGAAATTAAGGTGGGCAGATTCAGTTCCTGTTGCAAGGTGTTCAAGGTTACAGGAGCAGAGTAAAGGCCTTTTTGCAAAGCTCAGTCCGCACTGAGGGAACACTGCAGGTAATGATGTCCTGAGAGCGCATGTTGTAACTGCACTGACGACGTGACATGTGGGCGGAGATATAAGAAGGCAGCAGACCAAGGAGTGATTTAGAGATGAAGATGAACCAGTGTGAGAGCCTACATGTAGACAGTGATGACCAATTGACCAAGGAGTACAGAGTGCAGTGATGGGTACAGTAGTTACAACCAGTTATGAATCTTAGCTCACCATGGTAGACAGCATCCAACATCACAAGGAGCTGGCAGGGGCATTAATGTAAATAAGGTCACCATAGTTGATGGCTGGTAGGAAGGTAGCAGATACAAGGAGTTTCCTGGCATTCAGAGTTAGACAAGATCTATTTCTGAAAAAGAAACCCAGTTTTAATTTCAGTTTCTTTATCAAGTTTTCTATATGTGGTTTCAAAGAGAGATGTGCATCAACTAAAATTCCCAAGTATTTGTAAGAATCCACAAATGCAATAGGAACACTATGCATGGATGAGATAAGAGAAAGAACTGCTGGAGCCAACTTTCTGTTTGAAAACAACATCCCTTTGGTTTTATTAGCACTTAGCACCAGTTTGAGATGAATTAAGTCTGACTGAATGATGTCAAATGCAGATTGTAGAAAACCTTGGCAACTGTGTTAGCTCGACAGTAAACAATTGTATTGTCAGCATAGAGATGCAAGGATGCATCAGGAATGTTTTGATCTACATTACTTATATAAATTGTAAAAAGAGTGTGTCCTAAAATTGAGCCTTGTGGCACACCAATGAGCACAGGGCACTGAGGGAACGCTGCAGGTAATGATGGCCTGAGAATGAATCAGTGACTGTTAGGTAACTAGATGAAGTACAATTATGTCGAACACATTGCCGCCGACCTGAGAGATAGTTTGAAAACCAAACATGTGATCTGAGAAACCAAACTCTAAGAGCTTATGGCACAAGATGTCATGATTTTAAAAGCAGTTTTTGAGGGTGTCCCTTAAGATCCAGTCATATGTATTAAAAACTAAACATTCATTACTGTGTTACCAAGTAGACAAATTGTGGAAACTAACGGGGGCACTGACTGAGTGTGTTTCTCCACTTGCTCCACTCAAATGTTTTGTCTTTTAAAGGGACTTGATTCACTTCCTGGTTGCGCAATCATGTGACTCACAACAAAAGCTTCTTGTTTTTTTAAACAAACATAAAACCGTATAGACTATAAGAACAGATCGATTAAAAATCTGATATGCATCCATAAACAATAATAAAGTCCAAAATGAAAAGTTATTCATGACCACAGAGGGACTTGTAGCAGTCTTATGTTTCCATAGAAACATGTAAATAAAAACTTCATTGTGGTCACTAAAGTTTTTTAATTTGCTCATTTTGCAAGTGAATAATGCTGAGAAACTGTTAATGTACATAAAATATGTGTGCAGTTTTCTCCAGTCTGAAGATGGTTTAGAATCCTGTTGAACATAATTTATTTTGGTTTAAATTATTTTCTGTGGTTGTTTAGTACAACTTCCTCTCCTCCACCATAACCATCAGCACTGGCTCCCCCCAGGGCTGTGTGTTGAGCCCCCTCCTGTTCACTCTGCTCACGTATGACTGTGCACCTACCCATTCAGGCTGCCATATTGTAAAGTTTGCAGACGATACAGCGGTGGTGGGATGCATCACAAACAATGATGAGTCCAGCTACAGGCAGGAGGTGGAACACCTGGAGAGCTGGTGCAAAGAGAACAACCTTCACATCAATGTGAAGAAGATGAAGGAGATGATTGTGGACTTCAGGAGGAATAAAAACACCTACTCCCCTGAACATAGGAGGATCTGTGGTGGAAGTGGTCTCCAGTTACAAGTACTTGGGTGTACACCTGAATGACAACCTCAGATGGGGCAACAGCACCACCAGTCTGATCAAGAAAGCTCATCAGAGACTCTACTTCCTCAGGCGGCTGAGATGAGCTGGTCTGGGAAGCTCAGTCCTCACCTCCTTCTACAGGTGTGCAGTGGAGAGCATCCTGTGCTCCAGCATCAACGTGTGGCATGGAGGCTGCACAGCTGCAGAAAGAAACGCTTTGCAGAGAGTGGTGAAGGCTGCACAGAAGTCTAATGGAGTCAGCCTCTCCACCATCACAGACATCTACACCTCCAGATGCAGGAAGAGGGCCACCTGCATCATGAAGGACCCCACTCACCCAGTACACACATTTTGCCCTGCTCCCGTCAGGCAGGAGGTTGAGGAGCATTAAGTGTAGAACCACTAGACTGAGGAACAGCTTCTACCCTGAGGCTGTTAGACTCACTAACCAGGATAATCACTGCGAAGAAGAAAAAAATCACTGTAACACCACTTGATTGTTGATCTGTGCTGATGATTATTTATGCTGTTGATCTCATGTTGCTTTGATTTATTTCATGCTGCTGTGTTCATTCGTACTCATCTGCTCACACAGACTCATGTTCCTGCTGCTGTTGTTTGGCGTATGGTTTTTGTACTAGTAGTGCTTAGTGCATTTTTAGTTTAGCGTATATCTTAGTTCATATCTTAGATCTTATTACCGTTTTTCTTTACAATTTATACATTTGTTGGATGCAACTGGGACCCTGTGTACACAATTTCATTCCACCACATGTACAACAAATGATGTGAATGACAATAAAGAAACCTTGACTGTGACCTTGTATTTGTCGCTGAGTAGTTTTACAAGATTTCAAAGCTATAAATACAGTAAATACAACATGTTAACAAACAGAAGGCACACGCCTACTAAATCAATCCAATAAATCAAACAATATTCTTCAGATGCATTGATTTATTGTGGAGTCTGTCAATATAAATTATGAGCCACTGAAATGATGAAACAAGATCTATTGTTCCTACTGATCAAAGACCCTTTAAACATTATGAAAATATTAATGTTGTCATCAAAAAAGCATAAATATTTTGGTTTGTGTAGATTAAAAACATTTCGGAGTTTTCTGAGGTTCTAACCTTGATCCCTCTTGCAAAAATGTCATTGCTGTGCTACAAAAATCTTGCCGTACTCCCCACACTCGTTCAGGCCTCAGGTGCACTCCCCTCGTGTCAGGGATCCATGGATCAAACTACTGATGAGATTTTTTTTTTTTTTTTGGGGGGGGGGGGGAGGATTTTTGAAAGACATAAATGTATCGTATTGCCAAAATAACTGATCGATATACAGTAGTTTATTTTCTTTGTATTGCTTAAAATTATAGTTTCCTCGCTAAGACGATGATGGGCTTGGGGGTGCCCATTGTTGTAGTCCCAAAATAGAGGGGTTCCAGAACCACTGCCCCCCCCCCCTCCACTACCCCCAATCATTGGATTTCCACCCAAGGGTTACGTGCGTCCAAGCAGCATTAAATTACCTGGGGAATTCACACCCTGAGACAGGAATAAGACAGTGTGTATTTAAAAACAAGGCGGGGGGAGGAGGGGGGGAGGTTGTTAAAATCCTTTCCGGAATGTTCCAAATGACTCATCCTCCAGTTTGAAGCTATAGGAGGCTCCTGTCTGCTCGACCAGATGGCTCTACTTTGTCCTAACGTGCAACAAAGGAAGTTGGAAATGGATCTGCACCCCGTATCGGCTGCATTTGACCTTTTTTTGTTCCTCCCAGCCGTTCAGGCAGAATTATTTTACAGAAGTGATTCAAAGACCTTCAAAAATGAAACTGTATTTGCAAGCTTCTGATGAGTGCCCTTCTACCCTGTTCACTTTTTACCGGGAGTAAAAATTAAAATTTGACCGTGCTTTAAGTGGTGAACCTGACATTTTTCAGCCTGAATATAAAGTGAAAATGGTTTGGATGTCTTCATGCAGGAGAAGCTGATTCCACGACTCCAGAGCTGACAGTTTACCTGCAGCACTGATTTTAGGTGGACAATGACTAGAAGAAATATCAGATCAGGATCTTATCATAACTGCTGTGCAACTGGTGTCAGAGCCTGTAAATATATTAATACAAAACCAAGAATTTTTAAAATATTATTCATGCCTAATTTTAATTTATGAAGATCTGTTACAATTTAAAAATCCATCCATCCATTATCTTTACCTGCTTCTTCCTTTTTGGGTCATGGGGGTCACTGGTGCCCATGTCACATATAGAGACAAACAACCATTCACTCTCTCACGCACACCTAGAGACAATTTAGAGTTACCAATCAGTTTAACATGCATGTTTTTGGTCTGTGGGAGGAAAC